TCAGGGAGGGGACAAGACCACCCAGTGCCCTACTTGTGACAGAGCTTTGACCAGGAACACTAAAGTCCACCAGGGCTCCAAGTGCAGACTCATCAAGCAAAGTTAAAGTCAGTAACCAAAACCCAGGTAAGAGAAGTCAGGACCAAACAGGACCTGTCTATTCTATCCAAGATTGTGAGAGAAGACAGAGCCTGGCCCTGGCACTGAATCCCAAATCAAAGACTAAGGCTAGAGACAGAAGGGAAAAGATGCTAAAACACTCTGAAGAAATATTATGGGTGGGTCTAGGACTTAGGTCTTCTGACTTTAGAGCCAGTGTTCTTTCTCCTATACTAAATTTAGAAGACTTGAACTCATGCCCATTGAAGTAGTCAGATCTAGGAGAGTAATTTACATGGTGACCACAATAATATACAGGTAAATTTACAAAAACGAACTGTGAACTGCTTTAGAACTCAGATCAATGCAGCGTCCACTTATGACGCACAGAGACAGAGGGTGAACATGTTTCCTACCTCTCCACAGAGGTGGTAGACTACAGGTATAAAATAAGACATATACAGAGCATCCCAAAAGTCTTTGTGAAGTTTTAAGCTTTAATTGCTTTTGGAACACTGTGTATTCAGACATGTTGATTTATTTTGCTTGACTGTGCTTATTTATTCTTAGGGAGGGTTCAGTGGTGGGAGTAGGTAGGTGAGGGAGTAACTGGGATGTAAAAGATATACAAAAGAAAAGAGCATCAGTAAATTTTTTCCCACCACTGTACATCAAGCGGGAATTTATTTGTGTGTGATGTCACTTGGCCAGTTCTCAGTATTCCGTAATTTTTCCATTGACCAAATGACTACATCTCCCTCCTGGATCCCAAGATCTAATGTGGTCCGGTTATACTGCAGGCAGGTGCTTCCTGGTTTTTGCACTTCCTGGCGCAATCTAGTTTTTAACTCCTGAAACAGGCCACTTTGCCCCTTTGGTCATAATAGCCCAAGCAATTCCAATAGGACCACGGAGGGGGGTAGATGGCCTGCTGCCCTGTTGCTGGTGCAGGCAATCCTTTTACTTTACTTAGAAAAATACACTTCTTCACCTTCCAGACAAGACAGAAAACAGGTTCTCAGGTAGAAGAGGCCTTTGGGGACAGCTCTATCCATCCTAATCATTTGATTGAGTTAAACCCAGGACCCCTTTTTATAATTCCTTTCCACACTGGCCCAGGAATCCAAATTGATAACCAGCCTTACTCCCAGAAGCTATGGGTCACCTTTCCCAGACAGCTTGGGTGACCTGTGTCCTCAAAAGCTTTTCTTAGAAAAGGGGACATGGTATTTAAAAACTGGACAGGGTGCAGCTAGGTGGCACAGTAGATAGAGCACTGGCCCTGAATTCAGGAGGACCTGAGTTCAAATCCGGCCTCAGACACATAATACTTAACTAGCTGTGTGACCCTGGGCAAGTCACTTATCCCCATTGCCTAGCCAAAAAAACAAACAAACAAACAAAAAACTGGACTAATCAACTTCTCTGTGACCCTTGGCTAGAGACCAGTAAAATATATAAAAAAAATTTGTGTCAACAAAATGACTAATATGGAAATGTTTTACATGATTGCACATATATAACCTGTATCAGATTGCTTACTGTCTCAGGGAAGGGAGAGGGAAAGTAGGGAGGGAGGGACAGAATTTGGAATTTACAACTTTTTAAAAAAACCTGAATGTTAAAAATTATTTTACATGTAATCGGGGAAAAATAAGATGTTATTTAAAAAGAGATATGCCATTCAATCAATAAATATTTTGCGTGTGAAAAGTGGAATAAAGGACAATGTCAAAGAATCTGTGGAACTGGAAAAAAAAGGTGGGTCAGCAGTCATGTAGTGAGAACAAAAGATGACAGATGAATACCTTGAGTCTTGTACTTTTATCAAAGGGTAACATATAGTATGCTGGATAGATCCTCCATGGGAGGACACACAACCACACAGGATGAAATGGTATGATGGGATGTGTCCTATTCTGGTGATGGGTACAAAACGAAAACAAAGGCTTGGGAACAGATCCAGTGAGGCGTGTGGGCGTGTGTGTGTGTGTGTGTGTGTGTGTGTGTGTAAAGCCTTACTTACAAATTGAACATATTGAATTATATTACAGGAAAAGTTACGTAACACACTACACTGGAGCACCAACACCTTTTGGTAAACATTCTAGCAACAACATTCTAAAACAGTTCCAGCATATTTCCAAATGTCAGTACAATTATTTTGAGCACTATGTGAAACAAGGAAATTCCAGGACAACAAAAAGAGGATTTGGACATTCCCTAGAAGTTCCTTATAGTGACCTTCTGGCATGGATCTTATCATAGTCACCCAGAAGCCCATCCACAAACAAATCTGGCTTATCAGCACCTTTCTACTGTGTTTCCTAATTTGACTTAAACAGAGGGATTTAAAGGAAGATGAATCACAGAGCACTCTATTTCTACAACAGTATATAACCAATTGTTCCACAAAAAGGAACTAACTGTATTGTTTTATGTACGAAATACAAAGAAGCTAAAGTTTGCTCTACTCTTCTAAAAAAAAATGAAGACAAAGGTTTAGTAGCAAGGCCAAGCTACTATTCACCTTTTAATAATGCTTTATGGTTCTCAAAATACTTATCTCCTATTAGCCCTACACTAGCCACTGTGAAAACCTGAGTTCAAATCCAGCCTCAGGCACTTCCTAGCACTGTGATCAGGAGCAAAGTGGGAAAGTCACTTAATTTCAGTTTGTCTCAGTTTCTATCTGTAAAATGGGGATAATAATAGCACCTACTTCCAAGGACTGTTGGCAGGATCAAAGCAGCTCTTTATAAATCAACAACTGGTCTGCAATATACTATCTTACAGAGCCGTCTGGGAGCCCTGAAAAGTTAAGTGACTTCCCAAGGGTCACAAAGCAAGAAGGTGTCAGATGCGAGGCTTACTCCTTGACTCCCAGGCTGGCTACATTACTCTGCCTCTCCTATTTTGTGTAAATACACCACAGATATGCATTTATATGTGTGTGTGTTCACAAAATATATAAATGCTAGGCAGCACAGTGGATAGAGCACTGGCCCAAAAGTCAGTAAGACTCGAGTTCAAATTGGGCCAAAGACACTTCTTACTAGCTGTATGACCCTGGGCAAATCTCTTAACACTATTGTTTGCCTCAGTTTCCTCATATGTAAAATGGGGGATAATAAGAACCTTATAGGGTTGGGAGGATCAAATGAGATAATATTTGTAAAATGATTTGCAAATATTAAAGTGCTATATAAATGATTCTAGCTATTATGTTTAAATTCCTTCTCTAAAGCCCTATTTGGCAACTCCTATCATAGCAAGTTAAGTGACCCCAGGTTCACAGAAGACTATGCCAGCAGAAGAGAAGGGTGGCAGGTTTCGCTAAGTCAGAAAGGTTTTGAGCACAGTCTCCAATGAAGGGATTACATCTGTCATCAGAGGGTGAATTTAGCTACATTACAGAAGAATTACCACCTGAAGGTTGGCCACCAGGTGCCAACTTTTTTTTTTGGCCTCTCATTAAGCAACTCAGGAAGATTGAGTAAGTAATAATACAAAGAAGAAAACGATTTGCGTGGGTGGGGAGACTGCCTGCGCAGGTACTAGCTAAAATTTATAGAGTGGCTTTAAGGTTTGATATATTACGTCAAGATTTTTAAAAAATTACTTAACTATGCTTAGTTACATCAGACCTTGAGCTCCTTGAGGGTAGGGGCTGTCTTTTGCCTGTCTTTGTATCCCCAGCAAATAATACAGTGCCTGGCACACAGGAGGCACTAATAAATGCTCTTTGACAAGTGAATGGCTGCTTAAATTTAGCTGAAAATGAGCCAAAACAAATATATTCTGAGTCACTCTTGAAGCCCCTATTGCCTCTTGCCTTCCCATCCCTTTAATTTAATCCCCGTCAATGGGTTAAGCTGTATTTAAAAATACATTCGCCGGTGAAATAAACCCTTGACCACCTTTCAGAGTCTCCCCGTTCCGAGCAGCTTAACCTCGGTCTCATTCAGAGCCTTGACAGAAGCTTATCTGGCTCTATCCTGACACCTCTCAGACTCTCTTGCTGCCTCTCACTAGTTGCAGGGCACCCACAATTTTGCTGGCCCGAACTTCCCCCGCCCCAACCCTAAGACTGGGGCTTTACTCCCGTTGCAGACAAGCCTTGTTCCTCTTACCATAGCATTGTAACCCAAGGCATTCATGAAATGAGCCACCTCGGCGCCCTTGTAGACGGTGAACCACACAGTTCCCTGGTACTGGTCCCCGGGCATCCAGTAGCAGCACGTTGGGCTCGGCTCGGCGGATCTCCTGGACCTTGGTGTACAAGCGCGCCACGCCGCCCACGCACTTCGGAACGACCAAGCATTTGCCAGAGTCATCGCTGGTCTGCTCCAGCCGGCTGTGCAGGTCATTGGTGTGCAGTATGGTGAGCTTCCAGGAGCTCACTCTGGTCCAGAGGAGTGCGTGCAGAAACAGCAGTGGCAGCAGCCCATGCAGTGCGGAATCCGAGCCTCGCGCGAGGCAACTGGGACTCACGGCTTTGGCTCTCGCTCTCGGGAATCCCGGGACTCGGCACATCTTGGCCAGGCTCTGGAGGTGCTCACTTCTGTGCGCTGTCCTCTGCCGCCCCGGGAGGAATCCAGGGCCTTCCTAAGACTTCAGGGGTGTAGGGGCGGGGCGAAGGCACAGCGTCTTGGAGAAGAAGCTACCCAAGCTCTCCTTCTTCTCCTCCCCTTCTCCCACTAGGGACCCGGGGAGAGAGAGGAGCACCGCCCCCAATCCCCAGCCTGGCCTGGGACAAAACGCACACACTCACTTTCTCCACCTGGCTCCGCCCGCCTGCTGGAGCTAAGCAGAGCCCGAGGCTGGGCCGTACGCCCGGCGCGGGGTTGTCCTGTACCCTGGGCAGGTTCCAATTGGGGAGAGTTTGCTCCCTGCCCAGAGCCGCTGCGGGCGGAAAGAAGTGGAGAGAAGGAAGCAGGAGCGCCCCCGGGCTCAAACTTAAAACTGGTACACTCTCCTCTACTTTCTTAGAATGATTTCGTGTGTGGGTGTGCACATGGGTATGGGCGTTCGAGAGAAGGGAATGGAGGGAAACCTCTTTACAAACGTATCCCATTCCTGGCGGCATTTCTTTCCTCCTTGACAGCTGGGGTTAAGTTTGTGTAGATGCAGTACTCTAAGAAAAGACGCGCGAGCGTGTCATGGACAGAGAGGAGACAGATCTGTTACTGCCATCTGTGCTTTAGCTAAGCACAGGTCGAATGGTATTTATATATTTTTTGGCCACGATGTGTACCTCCCAGTTGGCAAAATGAACAGAGAGAGCAGTGGGAACCCGGTTCAAGCCAAGCTAAAACCCCACATCTGCCGCCCTTGGCTCCCAGCTATTCAGTGCTCTTGTGTACGTTTCTGAGCAACCATGGCAGTCCTGAAGGCAGCTCTGTGCAGTTGATCCTGACTGGGGCAAGTCACTCAATCTCTCTAAGCCTCAGTAACCTCATCTGCAAAATAGGAGTAATAAAGCAGCCCTTACTGTACCTCTTAGATTTGCTGTGAGGAGTAAATGAGGTAATATAGGATAAAGCACTCTAAACTTTATTATGATTACCGTCATAGTCGTAGTCATTATCATCATCATCTTTTGAACACTTCTGGGGTCAATCCAGGAGGACAATGACTCACTGCCACACAATAATAAAGAATGTCATACTGCCATTCATATACTAGTTTGCCTCAGGGTGGATTCTGATCTGATAGGGATCCACTACTGAAAATATATTACTAATGGAAGTGGACAAGTAAGTGAGAAGCAAGTCATTGCTTGAACCCAAACTGAGATAGACTCAGCTGAGGTTCAGTCAACCACAATTCTAAAGGACTCATGATGAAACATACTACTCACCCTCAGGCAGCTGATGAACTCAGTGCAGATTGCAGCATGTTTTCTTTTCTCCTTTTCTCTTCCTTCCTTTCTTTTCTTCTTTCCTTCCTTTCTTCCATTCTTCCTTCCTCCCTTCCTTCCACTTTGCTTAATTGTACACATTTGTAACCTGTTTTTCTTGCCTTCTCAGTGGAAAAATTAAATGACTGAATTTTGAAAATAAAAAAGATTTAGTCAGCATTAGAAATTTCCAGGAGCTTTTTTTGCCTGGTTTTCAGAGCCATTCCATTTCCATGGAGAAACAGAAAGCTGAAAGGTTGATTAAAGGGGTTAAGGCCCCAGTGAATTCTTCAGGCTTTAAGGTCAGTCAGGTTTCCTTGGCATGTAATTTTCTGGTCAATAAAGTATTTATGGAGTGACTCATTAAGCGCCAGTATTGTGTTTTGGTATTTTGGAGAGGAGATAGGAGCATACACACACTCTGTCATAAAGGAGCTTGTTCTCTAGTAAAGGAAACAAAATTAAGTTGCTGGAAATTATTAAAGAACAATTAAATGTGAAATATTAGGGCCCTAGGGTGGCCTCCTCACATATTGAATTCCTTGTCGTTAGGGGTCTGCAGTCAGAGGCTAGAATAACCAATTGTTGAGAATTTGTAGAGCTTATTATAAACTTGTATTATATTATAGAGCTTACTATAAAAATATTTTGATAACTTTATTTCAATAAAATTAGTTTCCTTTTTAATCTTACATATTTTACGTTATACATTTAAAAACATTATTCTGAGATCTCCCTTTTTTCCCTCTGAAACTATCCCTAATTTATGCTGTATATATTTTGTTTTTACAGAATTGTTTGCATGTTTTCTCCCCCATCAGACTGTGAACTCCTTGAAAGCAGGTACTTGTCTTTTACCTTTCTGCATATCCCCAGGGCTTAGTACAGTGCCCAGTGCCTAATAAATACCTCTTGACTAACTAAGAAGCAGTCCTTGACACATAAAATGATTAAGAACCTTTAGAGGTCATGGTGCTTCTAGAGGGGATGCTTCAGGTATTCGTAGATGTCGAGCTGGAGAGGACTTGAAGGTCTCCTTTTATAGATTAGGAAACGTATGCATAGAGAATTTAACTGACTTGTCCAAGGTCTCATAGGTAGTAAATGGTAAAACCAGGATTAGAAGCAGGGTCCTATTACTACAAATTCAGCTCTTTCCACTGTATCACGTTCTTTCCCAGTTGTAAGATTAAGATTCTATTTGATAATAGAAATTCAGAGGAAGAAGAGATCAGCTCCAACTAGGATAGTGAGGGAAAGTTTCTTGTAAGAGGTGAGATTTGAGATGTGCCCCAAAGTCAGGGAACCTTAAGAGCTGAATACCTTTATTAGAATAATTCATATTTATATAGCATTTTACAAATAGCTTTTCATGCATAGTCAGTGCAAACCACCATCTTCTCAGAATGTTAGTGCTTGGAGAACTGAAAAATTTAAGTGACTTCCTTAGGGTCTTATAGCCACTAAGTATTAGGGCAGTGGATAGAGCACTGGGCTTGGAGTCAGGAAGACTCATGTTCCTGAGTTCAAATCTGGCCTCTGACACTTACTAGCCTTGGGACCATGGGCAAGTCACTTTACCCTTTTTGCCTCAGTTTCCTCATCTGTCAATGAGGTGGAGAAGAAAATGGCAAACCACTCTAGTATCTCGGCCAAGAAATCCTTAAATGGTGTCATGAAGAGTTGGACATAACTGGAACAAGAACAAATCAGAGACAATGACTTGGACTTAGTCTTCCTAATGGGAAGGTCACCTTAGCACATGCTTTTTCAAGCTGCCTTTTCAGGGCTAGGGCTGGAAATCAAAGAACAAAAGTGAGATAATCAATCCCTTTTCTCAGTGAGTTTACATTCTGCTGGAAGAATTTTCACAGGTAAATACAGTGTGTGTGTGAGTGTGTGTGTGTGTGAGTGTGTGTGTGTGTGTGTGTGTGTGTGTGTGTGTGTAATACACCATGACTCATCAAGGCAGAGAATAATCAGAAAAGACATGAAGGGAATTGATTCTTAAAGGGAACAAGGGGTTCCAATGAAGTGAAGAGGAAGAACATTCTAAACCAGGGGGGCATGATCTAAGCCTATGGCTGGATGTTAGTCATGGAGTGCCTCTAAGGATTAAGTAACTTATTTTACATTTATCAAAGCCTAGAATCATCTGAAAAGCCTTTCAGTTGAACACCTGGTATATGAGAATGAACGTTTACATATATTCTAAAACCCCTTAACCCTGAGATTCCTTCTAGCACTGTTCCCTACCCCAAATCCTCACATTGTAACTCTGTAAAAAAGTGGGAAAGATATTGAACTAGAAATCAGAAGATCTAGGTTCTAGCCCCAGCATTGCCATGTTCTTTGGCCTGGGCTCTACCCAAAGGGAATGTAAATTTTAATGCTGAAACTTTTTTTTTTGTTTATGTTTTTCCCCTTAAAGACCAGTCTTAACCCCAAATCACTCTGGTCCCAGACCAAACCCTGCTTGGTCACTGTTTGGGCCCTGATTGGCTCAGAATAAATGTAAATAACAATTGTTTCTGTTTTGACCAGAAACTCTGAGAGTCTTCCCCTCCCAGATCTATTTTTTTTCCTTTTTTTGGTAAGGCGATTGGGGTTAAGTGACTTGCCCAGGGTCACACGGCTAGTTACTGTTAAGTGTCTGAGGCTGGATTTGAACTCAGGTCCTCCTGACTCCAAGACCAGAGCTCTATTCACTTCGCCACTAGCTGCCCCTATTTTTTTTTAAGAGGCAATTCTTTGCCTCATTTTTTATTGAGCTTTAATCACTGAATGGGTGCTGCCTCAGTCAAACTGAGACCTGTTAAAGATCTTAGCTTGTGATTTGATATTTTTTTATTCTGAATTTCACAAACATACCAAAAGGACACTCCCACATATAAAGTAGAGCATAATACCCATCCCAAAGAACAAATGAACCTTTTTTGAAGGAGAAAATACAAGTTAACAATCACTTGAAAAATGGCTTACATTCTCTAACATTCAGAGAAATCAAGACATTACCTTATAGCCATCAAAGAGGCAAAACAAAAACAAAAACTCCAAACCCCCAAACAAACCAATCAAAAACCCTAAGAATAATCAAATTCATTATTGGCAGGGCCATGAGGAAAGACCTTAGCTTCAAAAGGCCAAGGTCCCCCACTGCATCTTGGGCCATCTCTAGTCATTCTGAACCATATCTGGCCACTGGACCCAGATGGCTCTGGAGGAGAAAGTGACTTTGCATAGCCCTCCCTCACTTAAATCTTATTCAATTGCATGTCATGGCATCACCTCCCTGATGTCATGGTCTTCTTCAAGGACAAAGGACAAATAGTGACAAGTCATTTAACCACTCTGAGCAGCAGTTTCCTCATTTATAAAATGGAGATTGTGGAGGAGGTAGATCGTGAATTTGTGGGAAACATTCTCCCGAGAAAAATGTGATTTTAGAAATCAAAGAAATAGAGCTACAATTTTCAATAAATAGATAAATAAATACTCCGAGGCTAGCAAGAACTGGGAGAAGCCTTACTGATTTCTATCTTGATGATGGCCCCCACTACCTTAGAGATTTCCTGCTCAGGATAGCTGATAAGATTAACTACAAAGAAAACATCCCCACTGCTACAAACCCAATCTTTGGCAACTCTTGGAGACTCTAAGGTTGTCTGTCATATTCTCCCCTAGGTCACCTGTCATCTTATCCCTATTCCAAATAAGGAAAATAGCTGAGCAGCCTTACCTAATAGACTTCTTTTGTAGTTTGTAAAGTCACCCTAAGGCGCTCTGTGTGTGTGTATCTCCCTTGTTCTGAGGAGTTGCTGTCTCCCTGGCAACTGTCCATTAATTGATGCTAATTAGCTTTTAATCTTGTAGCCTGGCCTCTTAATTATCTTACCATTAAATGAACCAAGTTGGGGGGAATTACCCTTTAAGAAGATCGTAGGGCCTTAAGAAATCTTCAACTCCTCATAATACTTGATCTGTTGACCTCACAGAATTATGTTGTGAACAAAGTTGTATAATATTAGAGGTTGCAGAGAACTTGGAGATCATTTAGTCCAATTCC